TTTAGGAGCCTCTGCCCTCTAAATAACATGCTGTATGATTCTGCACAAAAATCAGAGTAAGTAAAAAATATTTTCTGCTGCCATATCCATTCAGCCATCTCCTGATAGGAATCTTAATCTCTGCTTTGCAGATGCTGCCAAACTGAAAGGAGGAACAAGTAGGCTTTTTCAGGTATCTTGGAGTTACAGTAACAAAGACAGTAAAGCTGAATGTGAGTTATGATAGGAACATTCATGAAACTCCACTGAAGCAGGAACATCTCCAGTGCCTCCAAGAGTCATCTTTTAATGTCTGCCTTCTCAGCAGATGTAGACACGGATCCAGGATGGATTCAGCAACAAAACTTAAGTTTTGACCCTTAATCCAGAGATGTCCACGGCTAAGGGTATACTGAAAGGAGGTCATGCAGTTTATCTCATTAACCTCCTCTGGCAGAGAGAAATTTTGGATAGGCATAGCTTTGCCAGGGACAGCTTATGGCAAAAAAAGAAAAAATGATGACCAGTGGCCTTCTAGGAAGGAGACATCACAAGCAGGAGTGTCTGCTGTGATGGGAAAGCAGCAGTATGGGTTACAGGGAATGCTTCCAGAAGATATCCTCTAGGCTGAAGCTATTGCGAGACAAAGAACAGGTGGGAAGACAAGACCACCAGGATTTTGTTCTGGTGGACTCCATTCATCCTGGAGCAGCAATCTCTCAGTGTAGGGTGGACTATGTCTCGCCTCCTCCCAGATAACAGGTAGGCAGAAACAGTAAGCATCTCTTCATCTCCCAAATCATAAAACCTCCTGCAAAGTATCTTTCTCTTCTAATACTTTAAATCTAGGTTTCTACAGCTTTTCTTTAAGAGCATAACAAGATATAATCAAGGACATCTGATTACAAGCACATGTTGAATTAAAATGCTAAATCATAATGACAATATTTCATACATTACTGTAGCTTAAGATTTGTGCAACAAGTGCCTCATTACTCACACTTCCAGAAGAAAGGCACTTCATTTAGAAATCAGAGCCTGCCAGACCTGACTTCTTTTCCTGGTGACGAGAAATGGGTCTAATTTTTTGAAAGAGCCATTAAGGTTTCAGTCTTGGTTGAAATGGGTATATTATCTGTAATAAGAAATATATTCTAATTTGGCGACTACAATGAAATTGTGTTACCGACTGTCGTGGTTTAACCTCGGTCGGCAACTGAGCACCACGCAGCTGCTCACTCATTGCCCCCTCCCCCCCCGGTGGGATGGGGGAGAGAACTGGAAGAGCACAAGTGAGAAAAACTCGTGGGTTGAGATACAAAGTTTAATAATTGAAATAAAATAATAATAATAATAATACACAAAGCAAGTGACAATTGCTCACAAATTGCAAAGCACAAGTACAATTGCAAAGCACAGTACAATTGCTCACCACCCACTGACCGATGCCCAGCCAGTCCCCAAGCAGCGGCCCCCCCGGCCAGCTTTCCCCAGTTTATGTACTGAGCATGACGTCACATGGTATGGAATGTTTCTTTGGCCAGTTTGGCTGTGCCCCCTCCCAGCTTCTTGTGCACCTGCAACCTTCTCAGTCAGTAGAGCATGGGAAACTAAAAAGTCCTTGGCTAGTGTAAGCATTACCTAGCAACAACTAAAACATCGGTGTGTTATCAACATTGTTCTCATCCTAAATCCAAAACACAGCACTGTACCAGCTACTAGGAAGGAAATTAACTCTATCCCTGCCGAAACAAGGACACCATCATAAATAACAACCAGTGCTCCAAAATAACACATTTTCCAGCTTATATAAATAATGTGTAGCTGACAAGGAACACTAGAAATGAAATTTCTCTACTAAAGCTATTAGGACAGCCATAGCATGGCAAAGTGTGTGTTGGGAAGATCTTTACCTTGTATCAATTCAAAATTCTTGTAGACAGTTCTTTCTCCAAGTTACTGCCTGCAAATAGAGGCTTAAGACTGCTTAGCTGATATCACAACAAAGTGAGGGTTACAAATTACACTGCTGCTTACTTAAATGTCTAGCTTCCTTTTTTTAGCAAGGAAAGTTGTTGATAATTAGCCAGCTTCCAGAGGAAATTCTTAGCAGCTATTGAAATTCAGAAACCATTACAACCCCATTATAAGCGATTGTTTGCCCTGGCCTGGCTCTAGCTGCAAACTTACCACTGAGGTGAAGAGCTGCAGAGACACAAACTTATTGACCCCACTCTTGCCAGTAGCTGTCCCTAGGTGGTTACCGCCAACTCGGAGGATTGCCAAAGCCAAGCTGTTTCTGCAGTGATTTCTCACACTGCACCCACCACGGTGGGGTGGCATTTTTAAGGCAGTGCCTGGAGCCACGCAGCTGGTAGATATGATGGCATGGAGAATGCCTTACCTATCACCCAAAGGGAGGTAAGGCTGTGTGAGTGAGTGATTCACAGGTGTTCATAAATTGTTTAAAATTAGGGCCTAATCAGATAGCAAAGTATTTCTGTTGGAGAAGGGTTCGCTGGATTGTTGTCATGTTTTGGGTTTTTTAAACATAATTTCCATAAAGAATGTAGAAAGTAGGTGTTGAAATAATCCCCATGCCACAGACAATAGTCAGGGAGTCCACGTTCACCAGAAGAAAAGAGCTACACCTTTAGGTGATAACCTGCAATTCATTGGAAAGGTGAAGTTCCAAGGAAATATTAAAACCTGAATTAGTGATACCTTAAAGCTGTTGGTATGATCCAGGAACCTCTTTGAGGCAGGGTTTTTTGTGGGTTTTTTTGTTTTGTTTCTTTTCTTGTTTTCCCCAAAGAGCCATAGTAATGTGGTGCTATGAAGTGTATGAATATCAGCTGGTGTAACATATGACTGAATAAGAAGCTCTGGATCAGAATGAGAAACTTCTTGTATGAATCTTATTACTGCGTAGGCAACTTCTTTCCTTCTTTGTTCGTGCCTCTCTTTCAGCTGACTACAGTATTATTTTTTTTCTTTTCTCCAATACAACTTTAAATTTGTATGCCAAAGGAAGATGCATTTGAATATGTGCCTAAAAATCAACTTATCTTAGAGCTTGAAAGCAGGTGGTAGTGTTTCCATACAGCCTTGAAAGACCTCTAAGAGTTACCTGTGTGAAAGGGGGTTATTCCCAGAAGTGCTGTAGTCCATGAACTTGATGTACTATTCTATAACGGTGAGTAATGGTGCTGCTAGCCTGAAAGTGTCAGGTAAGATATTATTTTTTTTTAATTGTATTTCCCATGTAAAATAAAAGCTAGAGCCTTTTGCAGGCTGACACAGTAAATCGGAGTAAAAAAATAGGATTAGACTCTAAATCTTCCAAAGGCTAGCCTTATTTCTAAGCTAATTCTTGTTTATTATCCTGATCTGTTTCATGTTTCTATTATCTCGAAGACCTTTCTATAAAAGTACAAAAGTATTAGAATCACAGTGGCTTAATAAGTGACCCTCTGAAAAAAATGAAGGTATTTGGGTCAAGTAAATTATTTTATGGTGGTCTTGGCTATTTCTTTATGTTTTCTGCAAACATTCCAGTAATCATCTTTCATTATTAGAAATTATTAATCAAAGACTTGAGGACTATATGTTGTCTTCAGAAAAAAAAGCCCCCAAACTTTCAGTTTTAAGGTTGAGTAATTGCTACCAGTCATTCACTCAGCCACAGCAGTACTGGAGATTACAGAAGCTTTTTATTTTTTTCTGTGCAGATTAAGAACAGGTTTTTCCAATGCATTTTTCCACCAGCCAGCATTCTTACGAGCTGCTTTCATAAAACTTCAACTCCAATCAAAAGACTTCCTACCATGTAATTTATGTCAGATTAATATTATTACATACACGTAATTCTCATCTTCCATAAACAGTAGCTATTTTCACCATAAAATGAGGCAGCTTCATGTGAAAGCTAATATTTTTTATGAATTGTTGACACTACTGTTTTATGTTGCGTTAAGTACAGTCATGCCCATGTTGATACTGCATTTGTGCTGTTAAGGTCTCCCCGGACCCTCACTATTCTGCTTCTGCGTGGGCAGAATTCTGTGACACTAGAGCAGGGCAGTGTCTTGGCTCAGACTCAAATCTGGTGAGGTTTCTTAAAAAACAGCATTTCTCTGCCCAGTTTTCCAGCTTGGCCTAATCCAGAAAGTATTCTCAGAGGGTGCATGATCCATAATCATCAATGAGAACCTTTAAGAATCTGAATTTTTTTTCTTCCTAATTTTTGTTGTAGAGGATCCTTAATGACCCTGGGCTGTGGAGCAACATGTGGCCGTGCAGTAATGATGTCGGGGCAGGCTCTGTATCTTCCTTCACGGGAAAGACAGAGTAGCATCTATCAGCAGCTACCTCTGGGAAAGATTTCACAGCCCGGATTCTGGTGTGCAGCTAATTTCCTTCTTCTGGCCTGAAGCTCAGGCACCACCAGACTACTGTGGTAATTACATCTCCTTGAATTTTTGCTAAGATCTGGGGATGACGTAGTTGTGCAGCTCCAATGGCCATAAAAAATATCAAGATGCTTAGATTGTCACCTTCATCAAATGGCTAGTGCCTCCAGCCTGCCCTGTGGGAGGCCCTTAGGCCATTTATTTAAGCTGCCGTCTGAAAGGATAGTAGCCTATGACTGCCCATTTATTTACACTGAGGCAGGTTTTTTTGGGGGGAGGGAGGATTCAGCTCTTCTATTTCCTCCAAACTGATCTGCCTAGGTGCACGGGCACTGTTTTGGATCTTGCTATCAGAGCTGAATCCATGCTGATAGTCACAGAAGCTCACCACGCTTGAAAAAATGAGCCACTGGATGGAGAGGAGTGGAAAAAGTAAGAAAGAAAATTTCATAGTATGATGCCATAAACCACATCCCTTAGGATTACCAAGTTTTTCTTCAAACAGATTATCTTAGAAAAAGCAGTTGAAGTGGTATCAGAGTTGTGTCCTGCCTTATTAATTTGTTTAAAGAAAGAGATACAAATAGTAAAATAAAAAAAAAAAGTCAGTTTTATGAAACAACAAGGAGTTTTATTAAGATATTTTATTATGTGTCTCTGTAAGGAATAGACCAACAACCATATAAAAGCTTACAAAGATGGTTAACCTTCAACACTATAAATGTGTTAACGTGACAGAAGTAGTTCACAATTTTGCATCTTTATTGACTTTTACAGAGTGAAGGGAGAAAGTTCTCGACTATGACATGCCAATGACGATCTTTGACAGGAGACATTTACAATTGCTTTAAATCCTTTACTTTTTTTTTTTTTTAGCAAGTCAATAACCCTGACTTGCAGAGTTAGGAGTGAAAAATACATTAGCACCATCATATTAGTCTTTTACACTTCCCTAATTTTAGTGGTCTTGACCAGCAATGACAGGAAAGTAGAGAAGCACCTTTGATAACAGAATACAATCCAACAATAAAATTATGGTGACTACTGACATTAAGGTATTAAACTCTTAAAATACACTGTACTTTTTCACAGCTAATCAGTACAGAAATAGACAATTTTGTACCAAATTATTCCACTGAATTGACCAATGGGTCCAATGTGTTTTGATTGATTTCTTTGATTGATTTTTGGTTTGACTCATCAGACACATCCCAGTTTCTGTCCATGTTGAGGTAGTTGAAACAGGGAGGTCTTTCTAGCTTTATGGACTGTATCTTAGAAAGAAGGGTAAACTTTGATACTGGGAGCAATCAGTGCTTTGTAAATTGGCTAACATTCAACTAATAGAACACAGTGTTGTTTTATTAAGTGTTGAAGTTGTATATAGCACCACGGAGACATGTTTTGAAGATGGAATTTGGTAAAAAAAATAGAGCAAAAAAGCATTTTTACTGTACTTTGTGTAATAGCGAAAAAAATAACCCTTGATATCAAATTGATTTTTCCCCCAGAAATTTTGTTAATAAATAACTGGGATACAGATGGTCACCTGTACTAGCTGACAAGGCTAAAACAAAGGAGCACAGTTGGAGTGTGAATCTGTTTGCTGGGGTTTCAGAAAGAGCAGGATCTTTGATTTATAAGAAGCAGACCGGGCCAATGTCCACGCCAAATTCCTGATCAGGACCACCAATATCTATGGGTGCAATATCAACCACCGGCAACCTCATTGTCTTGCGCGTTCTGTATTCAAAGACTGTTTTACCCCATTCACCAGTGTGTTTCTGTGAAGTTAAAAAGAAAAGAAAAAAAAAACACCAAACATATTAGAGAAATCAGTGTTGGGCTATCTGAAAGTGATCCTACAGTTTACTGGATTTCATACTTTCTCTTTGCTTATTAATGTGTCCCTCTCAATGCCATGAAAACTGGTTGCAGTCTCTGCAGAAATGAACATGTAGACAGGCATTCTTCATTTCTGGACCTTTTATGCAAGGTCTTGTGGGGTTGTAGACTTTGCGGCTCAGAAGGGATGGGATCCCTGACGGCCAGTAGAGTACTCTGGAGCGGTGCCAGCACCCTGACTTCAGACTGGCATGTGCCTACATGCTGCGAGATGGTACAAACGGCTACTCTGTTTGCAAAGTGGTTTTGGCCTCAGGAAAAAGTGACAGTGGTAATGAGGTAGCTCTTCGTGTTCCTGTTAAAGAAATGGCCGCAAAGTGGCTGCAAAGTAGATGTGTTCATGCATTCTTAAACAGCAGGTTTGCCATATATGTCAGTGTTTGTTGAGCTTTTTGGACCTTAAACGGCAGGAGAGGGAAACTGTGGATGGTGTTATGGTGTTTTGTATTTGTGACTGAAAAGGCTGCAGATACTCTTAGACCAACATGCTCATCAATGTTACTGATCCTCTCCAGCACTTTCTGCTGCAGTGAGCAAGGCACAGTGAAGCAATATTGCATCTGCAAAATGACTGTTTGCCCCTTCCCATAATCATAGCCCATGGCTTGAATCAGCTAGCCTTGATTTTTTTGTATGACAAAGATGATTCCTACTGCTCTTAGTTTTAGAGTTGACATGGGCTGGATCAGAACTTGGTTGCTGTGTCTTCACTGACTTTGACTCTAAAGCAAGGAGACACCTATAAAGCACAGATTTAAATGGGAGCACACCTCACTTTCTACAGTTGCTACAGGAGTGACACTTCTGGTGTACAGAATCTAAATTTCCCCAATTAGGTGTAGCTGTGTCCTTTCCTTACCCAGGCCATGCAACACTCTCTCTTCCTTTATTATGGGTCTAGTCCTCTAGAGGGAATTATTTATTTAACTACCATACTAAAGTCTTGTTTACTTACAGTACAGCCATCTTCCAGAACAGCATATGTGAATTTGCTGTTTCCTTCAGCCTTGATCTCACTTTCCATAGAGCTCATCAGTTTCAGAGCTTTTTTAACATTTCCACTGGCTTGATCCATGTAGGCAATGCTGTTCTTGCAGTGGTAGGTGATGTTCTGGGAGGCACGGCTTGAGAGGATGCGGAGGAAGGCCAGCTGAACTTCCGAGACATCCTCTGGAAGCTCAGGATCTCCATAGCTGAACTGCAGAGTACAACACGTAAGCAACAGTTGTTGTTTAATCACGTCTAGGGACAGGCCATATAGTTATTATTTCACACGCTAAATGTTTAGCTTAGTTTAATTTTAGGATTAGTTATTAGTACGTTGCGACGTACTTGAGTACAATATGTGTACTACCTTTTGGGCTGTTAACTGTAGTAATTTCTTACCTGGAAGCCTCCATTCATAGATTCTCCAAACCAAACGTGTTTCCTTCCACTGCTTTCACTGGTCCACCAGTTTTTCCTTGGCACAGTGCTGGGATTAGCATTGAGGCATGTCTCACCAGTTTCCATATTACAGTATACTTTTATAGCATCCATCTTGCAGCCTTGGTTAGGATCAATCCAGTACTCTCCTAGAGGTAAAAAAAAATGTTAAGGGGCTTAATATATTCAGAGAAGAATCTGACTACATGATGGTGAAGCTTATTTCTATGCCAGATTCCTGAGCCAAATTAGGAAGCATATTAGTTTTGACAGAAGAGATGCCACAGAAAGTAAGATGATATAAAAATATACTGAGTTCATGTGAATACTGTAATATGACTGACATTTGAAATAAATATAGAACTTATACTTGTGATGGTTTTTTTCCATAAAATTAAACAAATGTTCACTTATAAGCATGTAAGGAGTAGAGTTGAAGTCAGTGTATATACTGTGTAAATGCATAGTAAATTAAAGTTTAAAATTATTATTAAGTTTATCATCTTTATCATGACAATTATTTTTTTAAAAAATCAAATTTTTATAGCAGATCTCTGCATTTAAATACTCAAAGACAATAGTATTCATGGAAAAAAAAAAATCAAGATCTGCTACCATTGGTGAAAATAAAAACCTAACATACCACTCTTGAGCTCAGGATGGCAGAATTTCAGATCTCTGCAGTTACGAGCTGGATTCTTCCGTGACCCATCAGGACTAATGATGTTTTCAATCTGGTTGTTAATTGATTTCATTGAAGATATGATGTCACCCAGATTGATATCATTTTCTTTTGGCTCATCTCGATATTCATACCCATAGCCCGCTGGACCTTTTTCACCCACAGGACCACCAACACCACAACATGGACCAGGAGGACCAGAAGGACCAGGAAGACCAGGCTGGCCTGGTGGACCCTAAAAAAAAAAAAATAGTGAACATAGCGCTGAGTAGAGATCACAGGTTAAAACTAAAAGTCTGTGTGGACCCTAATCTTAAAAAATTAGAATTCCCACATAAACATTTAATTTACTTATTAATTAAATAATGGCATTTGCTATGTATAAACTTCTGTTAGACTTTCTAGGTCTTTATTTTCCTAAAATTGGAATTTTCTTTTCCTAATTTTGTCAAGCTGTGACTGTCCTTCTTTCTGGGCTTTGAGAAGGACTCCTCTCCACCAAAATCCAGAGAATAACTATTTCTTGGCTTTAGGAGAAGTGACTATGCCAGTCACCTTTGCAGTGCTGGCCTCTCTAGAGGAGTCTAGGAAACCCGCTTCATAGCTTCCAAGATGCAAAGGGAGTCTGTGCTCTGAAGTGAAGAAGAAATCCTGCCTTCCCATTGTACACAGAAAAGTCAATGATTATCTGAGACTAACACAGTGCCCAGTGCATCAATAATTACACTGAACTATACATGATCTGTATTTTTTTGGATTTAGCCTCGATAGCTAGATACCTCCTACCATAAACTCCGTCCATGAAGTACAGAATTTTCTGAGGGAGATATTTAAATGGGAGAGCACCCTATGTTTCATGAATAATCCCTGAAGATTTGTTTGAGTGTGCACAATTTACTTACTGCAGGGCCACTTTCACCTCTGTTACCGCGAGGGCCAGGAGGACCAATTGGACCTGGATAGCCACTTGTACCATCTTTTCCAGGCGGCCCAGCTGGTCCTGGGGGACCCTAGAACGATGTTGAACACAAATAACATGGTCAAAATAGTTTATTGTGAGAGATTTCAAACATTTTTGTATGATTTTCAGGTGTCTTTCTTCAGCTATTGCCTGTTGAGATGGCCAATTTCAATTATTATTTTTATTTATTTATTTTTAAACAAACAGTCCGAATCTTCCTTCCAGCTATGCTAAGTAAGGAGTTTTTCTTACCCTTGCACCTGAAGCTCCTGGACTTCCAATTGCACCTTGTGGACCCAGGGGACCCTATGAAGAAAAGATAAATAAGTCATACACCTCCCCGTAATATTTTGTACCTAGCTGGATGTACCTTAAATAGAGACACTGAAACATCTTTAAGATTATAGGAAACACATTCTTATAGAAAACCTATGTCAGATATGAGAAAGAATGGTTGCCATTCTTTAACCAGAAAAAATTATCACATGTTCTCTATATGAAAAAATATTAGTGATGCAATATCATCCAAAATGCAAGAAAGCCAACTGACATCAATGAGCTTTGGATGAGATCTTGTATTCATAAGAATACATAGCTATAGGCTCAAAATGCTGCATATTACCATAAAATCATATTACCAGTAAAGTTATTTAAATAATTTGACAAACACTCATATTTTCAAATGCATTAAAAATTTTGCTTTATGTATGCACCACAAAGAACTAAGGCATATGTTTAAAAATGATTAATCATCTCGATGTCATAGTGTAAATAAGAATTTATCAGACCTTTTTTTTCTTTACTCATGTTATAAGTGAGACAACAGGTTATATCGTGTTGTTAAATAGGTTGGTATTGGTGGCATTTATAGTTAACACTTTCATCTTTTTGCCGTCATTGGTAGATTAACTAGGTGAGTTTTGGTTCCTTCATTCTCACTTGTATCATGAGTGCTATTAACAGCTCTTTTCAGTATAAATCTCTCAAAATTTTTACTTATCATAAATACATAGGGCATGCCTGTCTATTACCCTTCAATCCTTTTAGCCATTAAGAACCGTTCAAAATGGTAATGAATGGTTACAATTCAGTAGTTTACAAAGTTTATAATTTCATGCCCATTTTGCCCTAATACTAGTTACTGCAAAAGATGCATGACAGAAGAGAGGTCTTTAGACTCTGAGTAGCTTTTTCATGGATTTAGATGTCTGTCTAGCATAGATTTCTAATAGACAAATATTTCAACCCCTATTTCTATCTTTTATAATTTAATCAAGAATAGCCTATATAAATGAATGGAAAAAGTGTTTGTTCCAGGCAAAGGCAGACGTGTAGCTGAAAGGCATTTTAGCAAACCCAGCTTTAGCTCCTAGCAGCTTCTTGCAGTTCTTCATTAACACTTATTTCAGGTTGATTCAGGGAATCTGGACTTTTGAACACATTTGACAATCAAATTACACAGGTTCTTTATGCTTTTTCTTCTTTCCTTGATAAATTAGTTAAGGCTAACTAGTTACCTGGGACCCAAAACACAGGAACTAAGAACAGCTGTAATTCCCAATCCAATGCAAAATACTCACTGGAGGACCAGGGAGACCGGGGGTACCAGGAAATCCTCTATGACCCTTTATGCCATTGCTGCCTCTTTCACCAGTTTCACCTTTATCACCACGAGGACCTTGAGGACCCTTTAAGAGTAGATTTGCAATAAAAGGAATATATAAAGAAATAAGAAAAACACCCAAATAACAGGAAACAGTGAATGTATGATATCACAAATACTTTAAATAGGACTTACAGCAGGACCTCGAGCACCAGCAGGACCAGCAGAGCCAGGAGGGCCAGGTGGACCCTGTGACACAATAAGAATAAGATGGCATGGATCACTTGGAGTTGACTAGACCACCTTTTTACTTCCAAATAAGTGGTACGTTCAAAGCCAGTTCGCCAGTTCAAAGTCCAGCCGTTCGGAAACAAGGGGGAGCTCCACACACACTATATAATCAGCAAGAATTTTGGTCAGTTCCTTTTCCTACCAATGTTAGTCTTACTCAGCTGCTTGTAGGCACTGATACGTACCACATGCACTAGACCCCTTCTTCATTTTGTGACGTGCTCAGTTCTCAAGCTGTGCTGGTGTCAGCACTTCTCAGAAATAACTTGAAGACTTCCAAAGTTACTCCCATAGTTTAAATAAATAACATTGCTTGTGCCGCATGAGCATCAGATGGGATGGAAATTAAGATGGAGCCTGGTGGGATGATGTGCTTTTTGGCATCCTAAGGAGTACATGGATTTTGAGCTTATCTTATATACAGCTATCAGGAACATAAACTGTGATGTTTTTCCCCTTAATATTCTTATAAAAGAGGTCCTCAATGCCAAGAAACTATGACAGTAACAAATATATGACTCTTCCGAACTTCTAATTTATTACAGCATGAAATGGACTTTGCATAGGAAGGGTATGTAAATAAGCAGTAAGCTATTTACTTTGGTCTTACCTGAAATCCTCTTTCACCAGCTTTTCCAGGTGCACCGTTGTTACCTGCAGGTCCGGGGTGACCAGGAGGTCCCGGAGGGCCAGGAGAGCCACTTTCACCACGGTCACCCTGCAGATATAGTCACAGTTGACAGGATAAGAAATTTAGTGTTTTACAGAACTACAACGTAAAGAGTATATTCAGTGGAGCATAAGAGATTCAAGGAACAAGTTACATAGCACGGAACTAGCTATGTATATTGTCATGTCTACATAACATTTATTTGACAACCTAAAGGTATTGGTGATTCCTTACTTTGCCTCCTGGGGATCCATCACGTCCAGGCAAGCCATCTGAGCCAGGGTTACCCTGGAAAAAAGAATGGTACAGTTTGTTCATAAGCTGGATGATGAATAAACAGCTTGTTTTCCAGTAAGCTTAAATAATGCTCATCAAAGAAAGAGAAAGTTTTCAAGAAGGAGGAGTTCCTGGAGGTGGAAGGGCCCATAGAAGATCTGTCAGACCTGCATTACTTTGTAGGCATACAGGCAGCGCAGTCTCTTGTTCAGTTCCAAGTGAGACGGAGACGTGGTCCACAGGTAGTAAAAGGTATAGCAGAGACAGCAGGCTACTCGACCTCACATGAGGATGTAATCTGCCCAGGCCCCTGTGCATCAGGCACTTGAGGGAGCTTTTGTGAACCTTAAAGCATATTTACTCCCCAAGTCTCCTGTTTGTAACTCACAAGCTAGCAGGAAGGTCTAGCACATCCACTCACGTCTCTGCCAGGTTCTCCAGGTAAGCCTCTTTGTCCAATAGGACCTTGTGGACCAGGACCACCGCGTTCTCCTGGGACACCATTGGTACCTGGTTTACCATCTTCACCCTGAACAAAAAGGGAAAGGATTTTGTTGCAGATAATGTACTTATGAAATACGATCATATTATACATCTTTAATTAAATATGCAGTGATTATGAAGGAGACCTAATAAAGTGAAGGGCCAGTGTGACTTTGGTGATTGTGAATACTCAAAATAAGAAAAATACTTGGCCAAACTGGTTTCTTTTCATTGCTAGTAATATTCATGCAAGGCCATTGAACCCAAGGAGCGTTCCTTATTGTTTCGTCAACTAAGAAATAATAAACGGGTAAGTCTCTTCTTATGTACCCAAAACCAATAGCCAAAGCAGTTAAAAAAATGCTGGTCTATCACAATATTAGCAATAAAATACAAACCAAGCCTCACACCACCTTTTCTGGAGGGAGGTGAAAGTATTTTCCTGTTTGGGTCATAATATTTAAGCAAGAAACATATTGAGAATTAATCAGAGATAAACAACTTGTGGTAGGTGAAACTACGACTCAATTCTTGTCTCAATGAGAGTTTATAGCCCATTGCCCTCCTTAAGCGGGTAAAGCTGGTTATATACTTCTAGATAATCTGATCCAGGACTCTTGGTAATAGAGATTAAAGACAACCTCACATCCCACAGCTGCTGGTTACTGAACGTTTTTAAAGCCTGATCTTGATCTTACAGATGTAAACAAAAATAACTGTAAATTCTGTAGTCTCTGGACTAAAAATACAACGCATCATTACTTTTTGTAACACAAAGCTATTTTTAGCAGCTGGATTACAGTTTTTGTGTTAGCTTTGAGGCTATTGCTGCAGTGAATGCACTCTCACCTTGGCACCTGCCATACCAGGTGGACCGCTTGGGCCACGCAGACCTGGCAAACCTGTGTTACCCCGGCCACCAACGATGCCTTGAGGACCCGGTTCTCCTGGTGCCCCCTGTTTAGGAAAAGGTCAGATCAGTCAATACTGAGGATCTTCAATGTTCAATAGGTGGCTTCTTACTCTTGACAAACATAATCCCTGGCAATTAGTATAACGGTCCCTGGCTGGATGTGTACTTACCCTTTCTCCTCGTGTGCCTGGTGACCCTTTTTCACCTGGTGGGCCGGGCTCACCTCTTGTTCCAGCAGGTCCTGGACTGCCAGGAGAACCAGCGCTACCCGGGGGTCCGGGAGGCCCATCCTTGCCTGCAGGCCCTGCGTTACCAGCGGGACCTGGACTACCCTAAAAGGAATTTTAAAGAGAAGAGTGTGAGCTGTATTATCTGAGTAGCTGATAATTTTGGATTTTTTTCTCCCTACTGTCTGGACATATGGTTTGCATAATACAACACCTGCACAGTTTGGATGCCCAGTGTTTGTAATGTATCCAACACAGCATACACCTTCCTCACCCAGGGCTCTGCCACATAAATTTGAAATAGTTGCAGACCCCACTGATTTCTTGAATTACTCATGCCAGATACCTTTGAGGTGGTGCCTTGGACATGTGCAAAATGAAATGTCTTTCATTAAAACTCTTAGCTTAGCCAATCAATGGAAAGAATCACCTTGACTTTAATAATACCTTAAATAAAATCTTACTTTTTCTTTTTACTCAGCAATATTCTAATTTGCATCTGTCTGTAATTATAAGACAAAATAAAAATCTGTTTGTTCAAATATAAAAGTTTTCTTACTTTATATCTCAGTTACAACAAAAGATAACTTATAATTTTGGTTTTAAAATGAGTAAATCCATTGTATTCTTTGTATTTTCTTAATTTATAAAGAATCAAAATCAGAATCTAATTTTTACTATGTGAGACAAAAGTAGGTGCATGTTGAACATGCAAGGATATTATGAAACAGCTTTTCTTCACACACAGATATTGCATAAAATATTGGAATTCACTGATGCATCAGCATACATTTGTATAATAGGACACTGCAGACTGGTAGATTAAACTTCAGGTGTAGGCCATATCATAAGAGAGAAAATTTGCCACAAGAATCTTTCCAAACTCCTCTGTGCCAAGATAATTAAATCTTATGCCATTCCATTCTACAGGCAACTAAAAAAATTCTCAACAGTGATCTACTAAATGTAGTTTTAAAAATGCATCTCAATTGAAGATCCTGAATTGAATATTTTTTGCATCATAGAAGAGCAAGAAAGAAGACAGGATGTCTGCCACCAACAGAAATACTCAAGGACCTGATCCAGGAGAAGGTCTCCACTAACTCTGCTGGGCTTTGGAAAGCAAACCGTAATAGGAGGAGTATCAAGACAGTAAGCGAATGAATTGCTATTCCATATGAAATAAGATGAGAGTAAACTCTCTTTTGCAGAATTTTTTCCCTGAGTCCAAACATCATATTCAGAATGCTTTTGCTTATTTTATATTCATGTCAAGGTACATACAGCTTAATATAATTTAATATAATAATATATGTCTAAACATATCCACAAGGTAAGAATAAAAGAAAAAGGGGGATAAGACAACTTACATTGTTACCAGGGGGACCAGGTAGACCACGAGCACCAGGGAAACCAGCAGCACCCTATAAGAGATCAATACTTTTAGTTGTCATTTTCTGAAGATTGGAAAAAGATGAACAAATTGATTTTTATACAACAGCTGACTTCTTTGAATTATATTTAGCTGTTTTCCTTAAAACCTGAATTAAATGTCCTGGAACTGACCAAGAGGTTCACAAGGGTTTTGGTTTTTTTTTGTTTGTTTGTTTGTTTTTTTTTCCAAGGGAAGGTCCCACATGTACCTCAAAGGTGAGCTAATGGGCTCTGAGAAACTTGGCAAAGATGGCATGTAAATCTAATAACTGTTGAGATCAGCCATTTTATAGCTTTGAGTCATTGTGCCAAAAGCTGTTTTGGCACCTTACTTATATTAAAATCAATGTAATCCAGATAACTAAACACCTCAACTTTAATTACTCCTTCTGGAACACTAATTATTCTTGAACTGCAGATATTAAAGTCACTGAAGGTCTTGTTTTTCATTTACATCATGTTTGTTGTAACAGATAGAGTCATTTATCAGTGACTAAGTCAAAGAGATACTCACAGGGCCTCCAGGAGATCCACGTTCTCCTTTTGTTCCTTGGGGGCCAGGTGGACCCTACACGGAAGGAAATAGATAAAGCAAATGATTTGACAGATAGATTAAAGTTATAGGAAGTCATTAAGTTTCAGGCAGTTTAAATGCTTGCACTTGGGCCCAGCCACCTTGAGGCTGAGGGAGAACTGAAGAAACCTCTCTTTATAGCAACAAGGAACAGCAAAAACTTACTGGTGCACCAGGACCACCTTGTGGACCTGCAGCTCCAGGGGGTCCAGCCTCTCCTCTTAGACCAGGTGGGCCTCTTTCTCCTTTCCCACCAGGTTCCCCATTTTGGCCCTGTAGAAAAATTATATTGTTATTTTACAACTCAAAAAATGCAGATGATATCACTATGATAAAAAACCCTATCCGGATACTCTTCTGAAGGGAATTTAATTATTAAATTCAATGTGAAATCTATTGGTCTACCAGTACAGGAAAGGAAGGATAAAGAAACTTTGCTCTATATGTGACTGAGTACAGAAAGAGTAGCAAATTATTCAAATGTATGTAGCAGGTATGTATATTAAAGGGGTTACAGTAAGCCTTTCTGAGATGTGGATGAACTTAGAGAAACTAAGAACTTGATAATCACATTCAATTGCTTTTAACTATTTATACTTACTGGAGCTCCAGGGAAGCCAGCAGGTCCAGGAAGACCTTGTTCTCCTCGTTCACCCTGTAGAAAACAACATGTCAGCAATGGAAGGTGTTAGAAAGATAGGCTTCACTTTACAAGTTAGAGAACACTCCCATAAATACCGCTGAAGTTTCTTTGTCTTATCAGCCTTTGGAAGGAAAAAAAAAAACCAAACAACAAGCCAGTTGCTCCTGAGCTCTAAAAACAACTGTTCAGGAATTATCTGATAATTATCTGAAGCGTGACAAACTGATCTCAGTTACACCTGTATAAACCCTGAGCACAATCCATGGTATTTCCCCAGATCCAACTGACATCCAAATATGCTGTTTTATCAATCTAAAATATAAATATAAGAGTATTTTAAAATAAGTTTACTTAACTGTAAGACAAGATGGAAACAACTATTGCTCACACTCTTGGCCTGACCTGTCACTGCAGCCCTCCGACCCCTTTACAGTGTTAAAAGCACTGATTTTCTGAAGTCCTTAGCACTTGTAAATCCCAAAAGTCAACAGGAGCCGAATGTGCTGAGTTTATTTCGAACTCAAGCCACATATGTTCCTGAGGGGGTAGGTGCAACACTGATGTCTGTACTAGGCTAGAGGAGCCATGGTAAAGTTATACTGTAAGAAAAGTACTATCACTTACAGGACCACCACGGGAACCCACTGGACCTGGGGCACCTGCTGGACCAGTCTCTCCCTGTAAGGAACAAGAATGATTACTAGGCGTTTTTCTTCTTCCCATAAGACAGCCACCAGTGTGACTGTTTACAGTATCAATCATCATTATGGAGGATGCTTTACCTTATCTCCAGGTGGGCCAGCAGGACCAGGAGGACCGATGGGACCTACATTACCCTAAACAGTTAGAAAATTATATACTTTGTATCAAAATATGACAATGTTAATTCCTCTATTTTGATCAATAGCATTTATGTTCCCATGTAAACAGGTTGCTAAAGATATTTAAATGGAAGTAAGTCTATAATGCTAGTGTGTTGTTGCACACTATGTTTTGGAGTGACACTCCAAGATCACACCATTTTGCAATGTGAGAGATGTCCAATTGATTTTCCTTCTCCCCCTTACCCCCCATCTAAACCTAATCCAAAATCACCTGAATTTAATAGGACTCTCTCAATGGTAGACAATAAAAGTTATCCATTGGCCTAACTTTTCATATAGATAATTGGTCCATATTTATTCAGTATATGTTCAACATCTCTTGACTAGCTCCCTGACTTTTTTCTTTCTTGAGAATTTAATGTGTACCTGATGGTTTGAAAAACATTTTTTATATTTCCTCCAATTCATACAAGCTGCATTTTTATAATTGTCATCCCTCATTATTTTGATGTATATACTGCTTACATGTACTCATTAGATATATGTATATATTTCAAGTGTCTGTTTTATGTGTATAGCTATATAGATGTATAAATATATCATATATAGTAACTTGTAGAAATATTCTATATGAGAACACTTACTATCATGATGTCTTTCTGTGCTTCATTATAACCAGCATTTTCCTCATCAGTCAGCTAGATTTAGGAAGCTAGTAACATTTTCTCTACTTTTGTATTGGTGCTTTCCCTCCAAAACATCGTCCCAATTAATTGTAATCTTCTGCTTGCAAAAAATTCTATTATATCTACCCAAACAGCTGTAATCACAAAAACTAGTATTAAGTCTAATTTAGTTTATGAAACCAGATTTCCACTGCTGGAATGAAATACAATGGGATTAGTACTTTACATCTCCTAGACGGTATTTATTCACTGTAAGCTTACTCATGTTCTAAGTGTAGACTATGTGATGCTAATTGATAAACTGCTAGATGTTTAAAGACTACTCACTCTCT